ACGTGGAAAAGCAGCGAACAAAAAACAAACCAACGATAAAATGTGTTGGAAAATGCTCAAAAAAAAAACAATGCAGCGCCACCGTTACAACAATAAGCGATGGGAACCCCCGATATCGCCCGGCAAGACAGAAAATGCGAGAAAAAAACGCACCAGAAAACAATAACAATAAAAATGTCAAAAAAGCAGCGAAGCTTAAATCAAATTAATGTGAGCGGTCCAATAGGCCTGCGTTAAGGTTGTTTTTTTTTCGATTATTTATATTTGCATTTACGAGTTCTGATATTCAAGTTCCCGATGCGAATTTCTCTAGTTTACGGTCTTTAATTTGTATTTTAATTCCCTCTGAAGTAAAGAAAATCTGAACATGTTTTTAAGCAAGTTTTCCTATTTCTACCCCAGGTTAATAAAGGTTAATAAAAACCCAACTTTTGAATTCTAAATTTTTGAAACCTCTCCTATTAGACAATTTGAGAACGCTCCCTGGGCTTAATCTCTAGCATCTTGCACTTTGCCCTTTATTTATTAATACGTTTCACGCAAATAAATTACACATGAACATGATTTTAAAATGAACCGAAATTGCCATAATGCTGGCACATAAATCGTTTTGTGAAACGATGTTACTGTCAAAATTGATCGGACGCCACTTGAAAGCCTGCGAACATTTTCGAATGGCGTCGTCGTTTGTTAACAACAATCCCCGATTTAAATTAATGGCTAGAGCCAGAATATTTATAATACAATAATTCGTTTCGAGTGGTGGACTTAATGAGCTTCGAGCATTTGGTTAATTGATTTCCCTGACCATTCTGGTCCTGCAATTTATGAGGATACTGCACATCCATTTTTATTCTCAACACTCAAAAACGGAAGATAAAATACAATAAATTATCATAAGAAATAAATTATGTTGATGATTTGATAACCCAACTTGATTTTGAGTAAAATCTTAAAAGTTAAAAAAAACTTTACTTTTACTATTATTAATATAAATTTTTTAATATTAATTTTTAAAAAATCCATCAGTTACAATGAAAAAGTAGTTAAAAAAATTTCAAAATTTTACCAAAATAAATTTGGTAATCTTATTTTATTTTAAAAATTGAAATCTCACAAAAACCATTTTTAGTGCATGTCGGACTGCTGCCGATTTTCAATTCGAGGCATAAACTAACTGGGAAATATAATAAATCTCATGACCCGCAACGATCCTGGGCGAAACAAATGGCTTTAATTATGCCAGAGCATTTGTTGCAGGACATCAGAGGACATCTCGATGTCCCATCCCACTTTAGCAACCAGGTGCATTGACCAGGCGACAATGATAATAAATTCCTTGTGCCGTTGCCACCTCTTTTTAACTCCACTTCTCCACCCCCTTGGGACATCAAATTGGTCAGCCACACTGTAAAAAATATTGTTGTTTTTGATTCTTAAAAAACAAACAAAACAAACAAACAAACATCTAACATTGCTTTGAAAACTTCGCTGAGCTATTACCAAAAATTGCAAAATTAAAGTTAAAACATAATTTGAAGATGATTTTTCTCTCTGCAGCCTTAATAAAATGCAAGTGCACAAATATTTTTATCCGGACAGGACAACAACTCCTTTACTCCGATGTCCTGTAAACTATTTACCAGAGAGGAATTTTCATTTTGCCAAAAGGAATTTGCAAAAACAAAGGCGGGTGGCAAGAAACAACAAATATGTGTGGCCGTCTGCGGGTGTGAGCGCTTGACAAAGTGTGACCAAGTGCCATAAATAACTTGGTTAAACAGCTGCAGCAAAAGTCTTCGGCAAAAGTATGTGTCATTAAGTGCAAAACTTACAAGCTGCAAACACGCAGCACACTAGAACTGAGAAGTTAAAAATGTTAACTCCTGTGAGTTACCTCAATGGGTAAATTTCTCCTAGAACTTATAACAAATTTATCTAATAAGCTATCGAACTATGGACAAGCTTTAAGAGGTGTATACAATGTATTACTGAAAAATTGAATTTATCTTACTATCCGCAGTTCAATATGCAATCTAAATCCACAGCCTTGTGGCCCATAATCCAGTACCTACAAATCCCTGGCTTCCTCCCACTTCACATTTCTCATAAAACTTTTAACAATGCCAGACAGGGACATATAAAAATTACGTCACAATAAATATAAATAAAGAGGCAAAACAAATTGGGGGTTTTAAAATCCACACGCCCAAACATACCCTCCTGTCGACCCTTTCATGACCATAAACAGGATGCCAGAAAGAGCTGCCAACTCGCGTTTTTTATGGCCAAAAATGCAAATCCCCGCAAATGACTCAGCCAGGGAAAAGGGCCACTCATGCAGGCCCTAAACTTACCCGGCAGTCGTGTAAATTTTGCACACCTTTCACACCGCGTCTAATAAAATATTTATTACCAGGAGGGGTAAAGGAAAAAAAAAAATACTGAATAACCGAAAACCAAAAATGCCAACCGAAAAAGAAACGATGAAATAAAAATAACAAGGCCAAAAAAGTTGAGGATGGGATGGAAAAAACGGGGGGTATACGACAACATCACGTACTGCGGCAATCGTTTGCTAATGCGGCAAAATGTCAAAGTTGCAACTGCAGCAGCCAACTCTCCCATCTACCCACAACTCCATGAAATCGCTGGCTAATTAAATTTATTTTTTTTCCAAAAAATAAGACTGAAATGCAGCCGCTGGAAGATGAATCGTTGTCGGCAGGTCACGAGCACAAAATTGGCAAGCTAATAAAAATTCAAGAAAATAAGTTACATTATCTACAAAATAAGTTTATTTTTGTGCTTTGGGGAAATTAGTTATGTTTTACTGTGAGAATCTGTCAGTTTTCGTGTGATTTTTATTTATTTTATTCAATCAAGAAAAAATATAAATAAAGAGTATAAAATGATTCCCTTGACTATTATTCAAATTAATTGTTCGCTTTGACAGCTGTCTATTTGGTTTGGAAAGGTTAAGACGGCAGTGTCATGTTGCAACCATGATTACGGTGGAACAGTTAATTTGACTATTAAGTTGCTGTATGTTACTAGTTTAACTAGGCAAAAGTGCTTAAATATGTGACAAGAAAATGCACAAAATGACTTATTTTAATTTATTGAATTACTATTCACAGATTTTTACTAAAATCTGGCCAACTCTTGAAAAGAAATTTCCACTACTTGTTTGTCGCTCTTTTATATTACCTGCGGCGAAGTGTTTTTTCTTTTTCCTAACTGAATTTTCTTTATCTTATTCGCTCGTTGTAAACAGTACAGCAGGCGCCATCTATTGGATTTTGGCTGAAGCGTCCATCTTGTTTCTTGCCTTCTCGCTCCCGCATAAAAGTTTTCAAATGCCGCTTCTCTATATGGACGAGGTATGATGATTTTTCAATGCTTCATTGATCATCCTACCAGGTGGTTCTACATTGATTTTGATTTTGTTTTTATAAAGTACTGTTCTTAGATGGCATCTTAGTTTTGAAAAAACATTTCGACACATTAAAAAGCATTAAATATATATTGATAATTGCCTTTTAAGTCATAAAATAAACTTAGTAATAAAAATACTATTTTGCCCTGTTAAATTATTTTTGCAAGGGTATTTGCTATTCGATTAGTTGGCTTTATCTTTGTTGTCTGAGATGTTTGTTGTGTTGTCCTTGCGTGTTCGCTAAACATTCTTAAAGTGTTTGCAGTTGTTGCGAGTTGCAAGTTGGTGATGTTGCTAGCTGCCAATGTTGCTAGTTGCCAGTTTTGGTTGCTATTCCTGTTGCACTTTGGGCTTATCTCATTGAAGAGGCCACAACGACGACAAGGAAGTCATTAGCAAAAGGTTAGCCAACGAACTGACCCCTTTCATGTTTCTCTCCCAGTGAGGATTTCTCTAGAAAATTAAATCCATTGTCGTTAAGTAATTTCCTCAAACAAGGCCAAACAAAATTGAAAAGTTACTGATGAAAATAAATTGCCAGTTTCATAATTCTGCTGAACCCTAAATTAAGTCAATCTTAATATAATATATAGTATATAGTGTAAGTATATATGTACAGATAAAGTCTCAATTACATCTATAGTAGATATATATTTTTAAGCTCATGTCCGGCTGAAAGCAAAAGTTTTTCTTCCCAAAAAAGGGGAAAAAAATTGAAATGCAGTATGGAAATCAAAAGGCCAAAGTCAGCGAAAAGTTTTTGAAAAGAGAAAAACTGTGGAGTGAACTGAGAAAAATTCAAGAAAACGCAATAAATTTTATTTAATTTTAATATTTTTGTTTACTTTCATTTGTTTATTAAATAATTGAATTAAAATTCAAAATTAAATCAAAAGAAAGGTATTGTTTTAGTACACATTACACTTTTTCCTCTCAGTGTTTGATGAAACAGCGGAAGGAAGCGAAATGAAATTTCTTCGAGAGTGAAGTGATATGCTTAAGCAGCAGCAACAAAGACCAAAGTGAATGAAAGGCGGCAAAATAAATGAAAATGCAAAATGGGTGGAAAAGTTTTGTAATAAGTGCAGCCAAAAGCCACCATAGGGAGAGGGGAGGGGAGTTATTTGAACGGGTAGCAAAGTCACTTCAAGTGCGACAGCTGCAAAGCCACAAGGAAATGGCGAAAACTTCGTTCCCGACAACAACAGCAGCTCAGAGTAAATGAAAATAAGTTACAGTGTGGTGATCGCCTGCATTCTGAAATTTTTTTGGAAAAAAAGATATAAAAATAAATTACATTCAAGCAATCGAAATACAAAAACTTACAAGTTTTCCTCCAAAATAAATATCTTGATTTTGATATCAATAAATTAATACTAAAAACATGTTAAAAAGGTAGAATGTGGTATAAGTTAAAAATAAAAACCACATATTTGTGTATGCATGTTCATACATATGAATATTCAAAAAATACTTTTAGTTTGGTATTTTAGCATTTTTACTAACTTGACGTATTTTATTCTTACATTACTTGGTCACTCTGAAAAAGTTCTTTATTATATCAAGTTGATCTGTCAATCTGAAAAGACTGAATCAGTTCCTATTAATTGAATATACTTCGAAAAACGTTTCACTTTTAAAATGGAATATGAAAATTCATTGGAATTAGTTGGGTAAGTACTAACTAAATTAAGTTTAACATAAAAAATATTAAGATATTTCCCTTAATTTCAGAGCCAAAAAGCTACCTCGCCTGCTTGAAAGTGAACTTTTTTCGGACATAACCATACGAATTGGGGACTCCTCCTTTCGTTGCCACAAAGTCATCTTGGCTTGTGCCTCGGAGTATTTTGAAAAATTGTTTCAAAAAGAAGATTCGAAAGATGGAGAATTGGTTGTGAAAGATACTACGCCGGAACTGTTGAAAATCATTATTGATTACCTATACAAGAAAGATATAGGCTATTTGAAGAATCTTGAATGGGAATCATTATGTTCCATTCTAAAATTGGCGAATATGTGGATGTTATCGGATTTTGAATATCTATGCGAAGAATTTCTAATTAAAACATTTCGAGTCCTGAAACCAGAAGCATTAATTGAAATATTTAAATTGTCCCATCTTTTGAAAAACACAAATTTAATGGAGTCGCTGATTAGTGAGGTAAACCATTTCAATTGACAATCCTCATTGCATTTTATGTTATGAATTAATTGAACTATTTACAGATAACCGAAATCTTTGATAATTTTGATCGTCTGGCTCCATACGTCTTGAATTTGGAAATCGATTTCTTCGTCGACTTTTTTTTAATGAGTAATCAGTTTAGACCTATAGAACGTTTTACCGTGTTGAATAGATGGATTCAGAATTATATTTCCAAAAATAATGGATTGGTGGTTTCATCTCCGCTTCCTGAAATTGACAATATTAAAAACTGTACAACGGACTTGGAGAAGATCTCATATATGTTAGGCGACATTCGCTTTGATCGAATGACATTAGATGCATTTTACGAAGGTCCTGCAAAGTCAAATATTTTGAGAGATTCAGACAAGGTCGAAATAATTTATAGAATTGCCAAATTGTATCTACTATAAAAGATCCTTTAATAAATAAAAATGAATTTAATTACTGCTGCGTTAATAATTTCATTGCAACATTTTGAAGGACTGTGAGATGCTTCCAGCGCCTATAAATACATACATAGGCAGGTCACCTTAATCAAGCGCCAATTGTTCCAGATCCCCCTCATTCCCGCCCATGAAATGCAATTGAATCCACGGGTCTGCCCACAATAGTTAACAGCATTGTTACACTTTTAAACGGCGTTTGTACACCCTGTTATCATATACTTGCTGGGTATGTTGTTACATTGGAGACCATGTAAGCTAACTACGAACCCCTTATGAATTAGAAATTTTATAAGTAAATGTAATGTTATTTTTTAAACAGTCAGCAAATCGGTTGACAAGCACCATATAGATATATTATATCATAGTCGTTTATTGGACTTTAAATAAAAAGCAATTGGAATTTGCTGGGTATTTGACAAATGGAACCCAAATTTCCTAGAAAATGTGGCAAAAGGTAAAAACGAAGCTGGGAAATACCAAAAAACAAAAACCAGAAACAGAACCCGTACGATGTTGAGACTGTACCACCACTGATATGTGTATGTATGGACGAGTACCACCGCCAACACCACCGATGGAGGCCTCCTGGTCGGTAGCGAGACCACTGCGGTTCATTAGCGGCTCCAAATGCGATTTGCTCGCAATGCAAAGGGGGTCGGTCGAGTGGGTGGTGGCGGTTTCGATGGACTGGACGGGCGGTTTGGGTTTTAAGGGGAGTTAACTTCAACTAGAACACATGAGCACGTAATTTAGTAGCCGCTTTAGCGCTTTTGTATGAAAATCACAACGCCAGCAACAGCAAAATCACAAAAACTCCAGCAAAACACAGCAGTGATGGCAGGCAATTTTTATATTGAGTGTCAAAAATGAATAACTAAAAGTATAGATTGCTTCAAAAGATGTTACTAACTTCGTTCTATTATACTTTTTTCGTTTTTAATTAAATAAATAACACCCCATAATATGATAACCAATAACCGAAAACGAGCGTGCCGAAATGGCATCACTGAGCCAAACTTCCCGCTCCGAAAGACCTCTGTCCACCGCGTTGTTTATGGCCATGTGCCTCATTGGGATCACATTCGGGCCACTTTTGTGTGTGGGTCCGGTTTTTGCCGTTAATTCCTTTTTATAAATAGCCAGCTATACAATACACCTCCGCCTCCTGGATATCCTGACAATAGAAAAAAAATTTTATTTGTTAGTTGGGAGGCTAGTCCAGGGCCAAAACTAATCAGCTCTTTCTCGGCCAACATGCAAAGCCTGAACTTGGACTAAGTTCGGCCTCTTGGTGTCTCCAGTTTAGGAACAGCCCGTCGTTGTGAAGATGGCAAAGGTCAATTTGAGTCATCCACATACATACATATGTACATATGTATGTACATATGTGGATGACTCAAATTGACCTTTGCCATATGTACATATGTATGTACATATTTTTTCAGATACACTGTGTGTATGTACATTCATACATACTATGTGGATAGGGGATAAACAGTATAAAAAACTGGATTACTGCTAGGGCTGTCACTTACTAAAATCCTGAGACTTTTGCTTTATTTAAAAACAAGAACAGGCTTTAGTTTATAATAAAAACCATAACGTTGAATAATGCCGCAGTATTGGGCCAGTGGAAAGCAAACAGAAGGTAAGCAATCGCATTTCTAATCTAATAATGGTAATAGATACCCAACTCAAGTGTCTGGGAAATTTGTATTTAAACAAACCAATCAATAGCTGATAGTTAAAAGAAAACAAAAACATAAATATCTCTTTTCAAAAACTGATTACTGGCAATCAAAAGAAATCTTAAGAATACAAAAACACACAACCATTTTAATATGAATCAGTGACAGAGTATGGATTCTCAGAAGTCAGCTAGTGGAGCTTGGCCAGAAGTTCGGCCAGAGTCTTCTTGGAATCGAATTTGGCATCGCTTGCCACGGAAATATCGGGTTGGTTAGCAGCTAGAAAAAACAAAAATAATAATTATAAGTAAGAAACCTTTAGCAAATAAAATTTAGAGTAAGCATTCCCATAATCACAAAGCCCATCTGATAGTTAACTTTTAAAAGGTTTACAACAGATTGATTACCTACCCTTATCCTGGCCATCGGAGGCAACGGACATATCGGGAACCAGATCGGCATCAGCATGGGACATGATTTCCACGGGCTCGGCTCCAGAAACCTTAGTAAACTTGGGCAGGGACTTGAGACCGGCAACGAGCTTCCTGGGGGTCACATCAGCATCGGAGTCAACGGACATATCCGGAACTAAATCCGCATCAGCATGGGACATGATTTCCACGGGCTCGGCTCCAGAGACCTTAGTAAACTTGGGCAGGGACTTGATACCAGAAAAAAGCTTCCTGGGGGTCACATCAGCATGGGTCACGATTTCCACGGGCTCGGCTCCAGAGACCTTAGTAAACTTAGGCAGAGACTTGAGACCGGCAACAAGCTTCCTGGGGGTCACATCAGCATCGGAGGCAACGGACATATCCGGAACTAAATCCGCATCAGCATGGGACATGATTTCCACGGGCTCGGCTCCAGAGACCTTAGTAAACTTGGGCAGGGACTTGATACCAGAAAAAAGCTTCCTGGGGGTCACATCAGCATGGGTCACGATTTCCACGGGCTCGGCTCCAGAGACCTTAGTAAACTTGGGCAGGGACTTGATACCGGGAACAAGCTTTCTGGGGGTCACATCAGCATCGGAGGCAACGGACATATCGGGAACCAGATCGGCATCAGCTTGGGTCATAATCTCCACAGGCTTCGCTCCGGAGACCTTAGTCAACTGGGGAAGGGACTTGAGAATACCAGCAATCTTCCTGTCTGTCTTAAACACGCCAAAAGAGGTGCGCTTGGGGGTCTCAGCAGCATCGGTGGCCACGGAAATGTCAGGGATCAATCCGGCGTCAGCCTGAATGGACATATCGGGAATCTGGGAGAACCAGGGAGCGGCAGCCTTGACAATCGGGGCGGCCTTAAGCTGGGCAGAACGTCTCCTGGGGGTTTCATCGGCATCAGTGGCCAACGACATATCGGGAAGCACTCCGGCATCAGACTGGATGGACATGTCGGGTACGGCGACAGAATCGGCCAGGGCAGACATTTCCGGAATCATTTTCTGAAGCATGGCCTGCATCTTCTGGACGATGGCTAGACGCGTTTATAGATTTATCGATTATAAAATGTTCTAAAGATTATTCCTAGAATATTCTCCTATACTCTCTCTTACCTTCCATCTGTGGCACATTGTGGGTGGACTGGATCTCATAGGCCACAAAGTGTCTGGTGGGTGCGGGTGGCACGAAACCACCGCTGACCAGCGGCAGGATGAGTAAGGCGCAAACGGCAAAGTGTTTCATGGTGATTGTCTAAAATTCGACTGAACTACGCGGCCACTTGAGTGGAGGTTATATAGTGGCCTTATCTGGCCACTGACTCCCTTATTTACGGCCGACGATCGAGGCAGACCTCTCCAGATTAGATTTCACTCCCAAAGCGTGCGAAAAGACCAGAGTTAACTGACCAACACCTTGTAAATCTTAGCCGGTGGTTTACCCAAAACAGGAAGTATTGCAGCCAATAGGGGGACCTGGACCTGGCCAATTGCCAATTTCAGAAAGCCCTTTATCATTTCATGTTTACGAAATTTTTGAGTAAATATATTTATAACGAAATGTCTGTATGTAGATGTGCTTTTGTTTTCCTCTGCAGTTTTTGGCAAGCAATGTCGTGTCGGCCAAATTATATCTAATCTTTTGCCATTGATGACGTGTTGATTAGAATCGGAGTCCACGTATTCAATCTAATTACACCAGCAGAAGTGCTTTGATTTTCATGATATGATACGATTTCATATTCATGATTCATTTTGATTAATTGATAGTCTGGCTGAAAATGAATAAACTTATTTTATTTTATCAGAAAGTGTATCAAGTTATGTACATTTGTTAGTGATCTCAAAGAAATCGTATCAAAATGGTATTATTAAGGGTAAAAAACCAGGAATATATCCCTTGAAAATTCTTTAAAAAATATAAAAAGAGAATCTATTTCATTTAAGTAGGTCATGTTATCTTACTCCCAAACATTTCCATTTATCAAACATTCATTTTCAATCCTATATCGAGACTACCTCGCATTATTTATATTTTTTAAGTATGAAAATTTTTAATTCCCTCGGACTAAAAAATGAAAGAGAAGAACCTCAAAGAGCCGAAGAATATTTAAATAAGAGGTTAAACGAAAAAGCAAAGAAACCTAAAGGACATAAAGAAAATAATCTAAACGAAGGCTATGATCCCCTAGAAGAGTTTGGGAAATCGCCAAAAGATGAAATGGGGGAAAACATACTTGAAAATGCAAAAGAAAAGAGCTTGTCAGATGAACGTGTAATAAACAAAAACCACATATTAGACGAATTAAGATATTTAAAACGCATTTTGGGAAGAGAGCAAAAACAGCTAAGACGACATTATGATTCGCAGTGGAAAGTTTTGCAAGCGCATGAAAATCTATGGAATAAAGTCAGGACAGAAAAATCTCCGATTTTGGTTAGCCCAAGATCTTTAGCCGAACTGGGCAAGGATGTGATAGCAAAAACTGTATTAGAAAAGCTCATAGAATCCTTAAACTATCAACTTCAACAGTGTGAGGAGCGTCTTGTTAAGTTGGAAGTCTATGAAAGTAGGATTAACATAATGCTGCCCGATATGGCTCCAATGTTGGGTAAAGAAATTCGATTTTTTAGAAGATTTGTAAGAAACCGTAGGAAATATTTGGAAACCCAAAAACTATTTCAACAAAGCTATCTGGATTACACTCTACGAAAGAGACTGCCTTTATCGGAAAACCGTGAAGTACTGCTAAGCAAGCCAGAAACTTTAGCAGCCAATGAAACTGTTTCGAAATTGTTAAAGCCAACTACCAATTCAGAAGCGTCCAGTTTACTTGTTGATCTTAAAAAATCGGAGATTGGGTTTCGATCTTTTTAGCCCAGAAAAGAAAATTTTAAAAAAATAAATCAATGAATTATTTGTTGTTATTATTTTATGAGGAAATCCCAGCAGAATTCCGTTCATTAAAACTAAAAATTCTTTCATTACGGTCTTGAAACTTTTATTTGATTATGAAAAAAAAACAATGTCTATTCATTATTTATAATACAAATTGTGAAACTAAATAAAGGTTTCATTTCTTAAAAACAAGTCTATTGCAATAATAGGAATTTTTCATAAATTTGAAATTCTTTTTTACTTACAAATGGTAAAAACAAAGAGCTCTGAAAACTTTTAATTGTTATCTTAAAATAATCAAATTTCAAACACAATTTGCAGAAGTGTCGTTTACATTTTTGAATAACAATTTCGGAAATGTAAATGTTTTTTAAAATTTAGATAAATGTAATATATTTATGAAGTAGTTTGGCTGCTTCATTTATTTAAACAATTAATCAAGTTTTGTTTCAAAAATTTGCTTTGTCAGTGTTTAATCTTAAAGATTCTTTACAATTTTTTTTTGAATACTCCTTGGCTGATCCTTAGATGCCGAGTAAGTCGTCCAAGTGCTCATCGTCCATGTGATCTACTGGTTCTCGCTTCAGGTTGGCTAGAGAGAAATCATCGGCAGCAATAGTGGCCGCTGTCTCCGAAGATTGCTTTTTCCTCTGGACGGCCTGACTTGGTTGCTGAAGAAGATCCTGGAAAGAGGTCTTGGTATTTGCCACCACCAAGCTGCGCTTTAGAGCCGAGGATGGTGAACCTTGATCGCCGGATACAGAAGGTGCTGCAGAAGCCTTTGGCTGGGCAAAATCATTAAAGACAGCTCCTTGCACACTAGAGATCTGCGGAGTTTTCTGAGTAGGAGTTGTGACTACGGCGGTGGGTGAGATTTGCTTTTGATTACTGGCAACGCCGCCAACTGACTTCCTCAGCAGCAAACTATTGCCATGTGGAACGGCAGCTACGTTTCCAGCGGAGTAGCGAGGTCGTTGAGATGGTGGCACCATTCCCTGTGCTGGTGCAATCAATCGACGCTTAAGCAAATTCGCCTCCATGGCATTCATATTGGAGTTCAGTGGGCTGCCATTGGCTGGACCTTGAACGGCTGCTTGGGGATTCGCTGGATTACCGCTACCGCACACGGAATACCTCCGGGACATGGCACGAACCTTCACGGGCCCAACACCCCTGACCGCCTGTGTTGCATTGGTAGGCCCAAAAAAGGTGTTTATCGAAGATCCTTGGGGCCTCACAGCGGCCACAACGGTAGCTCCCTTGGGACTGGCGTTTGGTGGGTTATTGGGAACCCTTATAGCACTATGATTACTATCCACGCTCTCCTTCCGCAGATTATTCAGAGAGACGTTCAGGTTGCCATTCGGTTTGCCACTCATCTGCAGAATTCTAAACATCTTCTTCTCTTGTCCTCCACCTGGCGTATTGGTAGATGCGATCTCAATTCCAGTGCCCGGCTTGTAGATCCTCTGAATCACTTGACGCTGCAGTGTGGCCCGAGGACCAACAGATGGGACAACTGGACCTCGAACAATTGGATTATCCTTTGGCTGTTTAGTTATGGTCACCTTAGCGGCACTGACCATACTGACTAGCTCCCTGACTAGCCGTAGTTCCGGATCCGAAACGTGCTCAAATCCTGATGGTGTGTTAATATTAAAATGCTGCAGTTCTCCAGAGGTTGGGAAATCGGTGGCATCGTCAAAGGTCTCCATCATAGCTTGGAACACTTTCTTCTTGAAGTGCAACTTCTGGCGGGCGTTCATCTCCCGCATTTGGGGCTTGATCATTTCAAGGAAGTGCTCATCGGAGAAAACGTCCGGTCGGTCAGTTTGGATGCCCTGCTCGGTGCGTTTTTGTAGCGCGGCATATGGCGGAGCTGTTAGTGATGATGCAGCAGTACTTGTTGTGGGTATGGCAGTAACCACTGTACCAGAGGGACTATTGGTGGTCTTACTGGTACTGGTGCTACTGGTCGAACTGGGACTGTAGCTCATCACGGTAATGTTCTCAGGTGGTTTTAGGCTGTTGCTAGTCGTAACTCTGGTCATGGTGCTAGCACTGCTGCTGCTGCTGCTGCTTAAGTTGGTAATAATGTTGTTTTTATTGGTTATTTTGCTGATGTTGCTGGGACCATTTACTGGGGAGCTGTTTGGTTTGTTAACGGTTAAAAGTTTCCCAGCTACTGGCGAATGTGGTCTGGGCTGGGGTCCCACCGTTCCTTGGAGCATGTGCATCTTCTTTGACGGCCTTCCTACGGACCGTCTTGGTGATGGAACCGGCACCTTTGGGATGGTAGCTATCGCATCGGCTTTCGGAAAGATCAGCGAATTCTTCTGCTCTTGGGCTTTGGATTGGTTTTGGTTTTGATTCTGTTCACCAGCAGTTGATGGACGTGGAAAGATGTCATCGCGATGGTTCACTTTCTTGATCTGGACCTGGTTGGAGGAGGACGGCTTATTGATCGACCTAGGAACTGGAGCCATTTTTACCGGCGATGTGGCACTATTTACACTGCGCAGGGCTGCCATACTCAATGATTTCCTGCGCTGCAAACGTGTCATTCGCTGTCCTTCGACAGATTTTTTGATAGGCAACTCTTTGATGCCAGCGGAACATATTGACGAGCGGATTGGACGTCGAAGCCGGCGATTGGGTGAAATATTGTTGACGCTGGCTGTGACTTCCTTTTCACCATCTCCGCCGCTACATTCATCGCCACTATCCTCCATTCCCTCCTTCAAGGGATCGCCCTCAGGCTCACCAATCGAAGCGCTAGAGTTTTTCTTGCCAATAATTAGCAAATGAGGATCGTTGCTTTCTTTGATGAAGAACTCCGACTGGCTAGCAGGTGAATCGGCGTTTTCTGTTTCCTGAGCTTTCTCTGGCAACGAATCCTTTTCCAAGTCAAAGTCAAAGCCTTCTAGATTCTCCAAGTGCTCTTCATCTTCGCACTCGTCGTCTTCAATGTCCGATTGAAGATAACTATCCAGTTCAGGCAATTTCTCCGCATCGTCCAGTTCCTCTTCAGCTTGCTCCTCCTCGGCGTTATGTTCCGAGGTTTTCTCCTCTTCATTAGCTGATTTTTCTTTGCGAAGTTGATGCCTCTGTTTAGCCTCTTTGACTGACTTGTTTGCCAACGATCCTCGTTCTTTTAAGGACGACTGAGACCGCCGACCTGTGCTCTCGCTTTCCCTGTCTTTGTCCGATGATACGCTACGTTCGTCGTCGAAGCTGATGTCCTCGGCCAGGTTAAGATGGCGGTCCAAAAAGCGCAGCTCATCGGCCAGCGGATACGGCAATCGGCGTTGCCCAATTCGGCGACGATGGGCGTCCGCGTTGCACCATCGGGTGTAATCGTTTCGCAGTTGACGCCAGCGTCGCTTGCACTTTTCCACTGCAGGAGAGAAAGAGAGGGCAATACAAAAAATTAGGCAGGTACAAAAGAAAAAAATATAACAGGTAGCGGTTGTCAAACAGCAACATATGGCAAAACCACCCCCAGATTTGGGAAGAACTGCAGTGGAAAATCCCGAGTAATCGGAAATCATAAACTTTTAAAGTCCCTAACATTTGGGCCAAATCTCACATAGGTAGGTAATAAGGAAGTTCTCTAATTATTTTCAACTATATTAGTTAATTAACATTTGGGTAAACAAAGAAATTTTTTATGGATTTTTTTTTATTAAACTAAGATGTCAAAAATTTAAAAGGTGCAAAATTGCAAGTGTCCAACTTCTTTGGAAATTATAGATATTTTTAAAAAATTTATTATTAATAATTGAATACTGATAGAAAATACTTCTTCATAAAATAATTAATATTGCAATATTTAATATTACTTGTAATAATCTAATTCTAGAAGAACCACAAAAAAAACATTTATAAAATTAATTAATACTCTTTCACCTTTATTTCCTTATCAAGATTTTTGACATAATTAAAATCATGGAAAACCATTTAATTACAAATTCAAGAAGTAAGAAATGGTTGATTACCACTCTTCAAAGCGTTGATAAATTTTCAGAATAAAAATAACAACCAACTTTGCGCGCCAATTCTTGCGTTGTTCATATTTTCTCTATGTTTTATCCTCATTTATTTAAGGTTTTAAAACATAAACTTTTTGAAAAGTTTAAAGCACCATAATAGGTAACTAATTAATGTTCTGAATGTTGTCAAACTAGCGGAAAATGATGATAACAAATAATTTTACATGGTGTATCCAATAAGAATTGTTTGGAATGTCGAAAAAATGCACTGATTGGATTTTTATACTTGTTATGATTTTCATACATGAGTTACATACTTCATTACATATTAAAATTAAACATTATCAACACAAAATAACTAACTTTATTTGGCTATCCAAATAGTTCGAAAAATTTCGATCTCACCTCAAGCCACGCGGAAAAGTCCTACCGCACCAGTCAGAATTATTTTGCGTTATGATTAGTATTAATATTTTATTTACTAATAAAACTTACAGTGATCTATGGAATATGAGTTATTCATAGTTAATAACACATACGCTCAGTTTTGGTTAAAAAAATTTAAATAGGCAAAAATTTAAACTTGTTCGACTTGGAAAGTTTCGAAGAAAAAAACTTTTCGTGACAAGTGAGAAATGACAAGTTAATCGATAACACAGGAGCAGAGTTGCATTTTAAACTTCCATCTTTTAAAGCCACTCACGACGAAAGCCAAAAATCAATTTATATTATTTATGGTATTCTTTTTTAAAAGCGTTGAAATAATGAGTACCCTTAGGCATGAAATATGTATGGAAAAAATGGTAATTTTAGAAAAAAAAAAAAAAGAAAACATTGAAAATTTTATCTTCTGCGGCCCTTGAATCAATATCACCAATAAAAAGTTTTGTCAGAACTATAATAGTTTGTTTAAAAAATACTCCTAAAAATTCATACAAAAAATATTTGTTTGGTACGTTATTGATATTTTAATGATTAAATATTTATATTTACTAAAATATTAATTTGGTGGCAGCTGGACTTATTATTTATTTTCCCACAAAGAATGTCCTTTTATAGACAAATATGTTTCCTAAAAATTCTAAACATCTTTTTATAAAGCTTATTTCATAAAAAAAATATAATAATCTAAATTTCATTTTTGATATGACTTTAAATTGCTTTGAATAATTTTTTAATAATAAATACAAATATTTTTAACATCCTTTTTTTTAAATAGACAAGTAAGTGTACATTATAAATATATTTTCATTGAACAATAGCCATAACTCCTAACTAAGCTATGATTTGGCCGAAATTATATGTTGTGATAACATTTAACCCCGAACGACATTGCATTCAACAGGAGATTCGTTACTTTCAAATAAATCGATGGCAAGTGCGTGTGATTGTCATCACCAGCTATCAGCGAGCCGTCGACTCGTACACAACTATCGATGGCCGATAACAAGGGTGGCCATGCAGAAGTTGATGCTGTCCAACACTGGCTATCGAAAAACTACGCCAACTGGCGCCATCCCGCTCGCACCCGCAACTCACCCGATTCACCGACTTCCGAGGCAACCATGTCCCAGGAATTCTCGCTTGGCAGGCGCTTCCTGTAGTTATCATTGCCGCGATCGTACAGGGGGGGCTGCTTCTCCACCGCCCGCAGCAGTTTTAAGTTCTCCACACTAGCAGTGCCCATCACTAAGAAGTCACTTCGGACGTATTAAATCGACCGAGCTCGCCGGGAATTTATCGTTTTCGTTGGGGCAGCTATGCTACAAAAGCAAACGCAATTCACACTACCACAACACAACAACACGCGCGCAGCAGCTGAGACGAAAAACGCAGACTGACAAACGGCAGCGACAACTAAATGCGAGTGTTGAGCACACACACACAAGAGAAAGAGAGTGAGCGAAAAGAGAGAAAGAGCGCCTTGCAGGAAAAAGCAAGTTGGTAGACCGTCGGTTTGTAAACGAGGGTTAACGAAAGTTGACTATTATATATTCCTGGCCATAGGGTTGGATAAAATGATTTTTGGTGATTTAACTGCATTAACGTACATTTTAGTAGATTCATCGTAACGAAAACTAGCTTTAATAGATACATATCTGATTCATATTTAGATTTTTATGCTTTGCAATTTGCAGGGCTTGAATAACAATTTTATTGAATTGTAATTGTGCTAAACTGTAAGTCAACAAAATAATTATATGCATCAAAAATAATAAAATAATTATATTTCCTAGGGTTGGACAGTCAAAGATAATTGTTAGTTGTTGAAAGCGTTGGCAGTTCCGTCACTGATCTAACGGCCCTGCCAACATCAATTTCTTTTCCTTCGCTTTGTGACTGGCAGCGCTGCGCTCTCTTTGGACTCAGCTGTGTAATTTTGCTAGTGTGTGTGTGCTTGCTTGTTTGGGTGTCAGAGGCATTCCTTTAGTTTACACTCTTTGAGAGGGTTGTATTCCCTATGAAAACTTGATCCCCTCTAACTTAGAAAGAGAGCGCATTACGCCCCTTTAAGTTTGTTGTGACCTCTTTTTCGTTGGCCGGCAACGAGTGATTTGTTTATATTCGCTGCCCGTTAGAGTTTTGAATGTCTAGCTGACACTTTAAATAATCTAGTAGTCTTGTGCTCTAAAATCAGGAACAACTGCCCTTCGTAATTGCACTAATCATTTTCAGTTGCAACACTTGTTGACAGTAGAAGAAAGCGGAACGAGTTGCAAAAAACCAGCGACAGCACCAACTCCCTCGTGCACGGCAGCAACAAGCATCTAAAAATCGAGTTTAATAAATGTATCATCGCTTTTAAAGCAGTGTCAGTGATTAAATAAATCATTTATTAACATATTTCAGGTAAGCTAAAACAAAATGACACTCAGGTAGCAGAAAAAATAACTGTTGTTGCATGCCGAGCAGCGTAGCAAAATAGCGCTAAACAGCTGTTGAGGGTACAGGCAACACACGTTTCGAATTCGAGTTCGTTTTGTTCACTTTCGTTTTGTAATTTTTCTTTAAATTTTTAGTTTTTATCGATGAAATGAAAACTCGACGTAGACCAATTGCACCGTCTCCAAATATTTATGCCACCAATGCCAAAATCTGCCATTTGGTGGCCCAACATCCATGTCTCTACGACCGGAGCGATGATGACTACATGCGGAAATCTACTGTGAGAAATGCCTGGAAGGATATATCCAAAGAGATGCGTAATTCTGGTAGGTTTAAAATAAGAATTATGCATTTAAAAATATTGGCAAGATTTTAATTTAAAAAAGTAATGTTAGAATCTAAAATGACTATAATCGATTTTCCTTTCTTTTTTCAGTCAAAAGCTGCAAGGAACGCTGGCGCAACATTCGCACAAGCTATGCTCGCTCTATAAAGCTGCATCACGGGGCAAATACATACTACCTAAATAGCGAACTGCAGTTCCTGCAGAATCACATCACTCCCGGAGTTCCCATTCCGCTAAGAGGCCGTCGTTCAAGACCCAAAGGTCAGGAGGAGCAGGACAGCGGGGAGTACGATACTCCCGTGGAGGCCATTCTAGAGATGAAGCATTCGCCGAGCAGTCCCGATTCAGAGCATGCGCTTAGCCGCTACAGTACCAATTCTGAGTCGGAGGCTGGATCCGAGGACGAAAATGGCTCCGAACAGGCGAGGGAGGCAAAACGTTTGCAATTGTCGAAGGAAAGCCAAGAGGAGGCCAAGGTGGGGTCAATTAACAGATGAATTTTCATTAGGCTTGTAGTAAATAAGATTAATTTATGGATATCATTATGCATTTGAATATTATATAATTTTTTTCAGGGAAAGTTCTTTGGGGATATAATTTTCATTCATTTATCATTAAGTAAATATTTTCTATTTATTTTCTTCATGTTTCTTTACTTCTTATTTTTCCACTAGACATTAAGCCACACTATTGATGCATCTCCAATCATGGATTTTGATGACGCATTCCTGCAGGGACTGCGTCCCGAAATCAAGCATATGAACTTCCACCAGAAGCTGTATTTCAAGCGTCGTGTTTACGAGCTGCTCGGCGAGATATTCCATTCCGAGGAGTCCGGCTCTTCTAGCCAACCAACGCAGTTGCCTCCACCGGAGAAGGTCAATGGGAAGCTACCCGTAATCTCATCATCACCATTACCCTCAAATCCTCTGCAGCACATGGGACTGACGTTGAAGCTGCCAAAGCTGATAGCCAAGCCAGCCAAAGATGTCTAACTTCGTAGGCTATAAACGACTGATTTCGAATTTATGTACAGAACACAGGACAAATAATATTTTAAGTTGTTTTTAAACATGTTCAGAGAATGTATAAGCTAATTGCATGGAGCAGTTAGGAGTCCAATTTGCAGTTGACATAAGTATAAATAAACAGATTTTATAAAACTGAAATATAGTTTCGTGATTTGATATATGCCTTGGGAAAAACCTGATGAAAATACCATTTTCATTAATATGATTTCATATATATTGTATGTTTATTTTAATCAAATACTTTTGTATACGTAAACATTGTTTTTGTTGTTCATTAAATAAAATAATAATTATTAAAATAATATACATGTATAACGTTCCCGTATAATTTATGGCATAAAATATAATTGTTTTTTTGTTATGTTTTGTGGATTAATAAGTTGTGTATAAGGAAATAGCACTGCCCAAGGGGCTGGCTTCGATTTGTTTTAAAGGTTTAAATACGTAAATTAGTCTCGATTAGTTATATGTACAAACATCGATCAGTTAAGTAGGTAGGTAAATGGGGCATCAAAACGTTGTAAGAGTTTAAACAATTGCACTTTAAATTAAATATCTATAAAATTAGGCATACAATTAAAGGTTCGTTTAAATGCAAAACAAATCGCTCGCAGCATCGATCCATCGAATTGGCAAGACCCCCAAAAGGTTAGACCGGTTAAGGGGTAACCAAGCTAATTGGCTTAAATCTAATAAAAATTGTGGCGCATTCTTCCCCTTCGTTGTCTATGGATTTCGGACCATCCTCTCTCTAGGCAAAACAAATCTTGACCGGTCCCAGCGGCAGTTGCTTCATGTAGTTCCACGCATCCACCCGTGTCATTCGCGATGTGGAGGCACCATTAATGCTCAGGATTTCGTCACCGTTGCGCACCTGGTTGGTCTTCTGGGCGGCACCACCTGGTTAGGAAAAGGTACTTTAATTAATAATCGTTTCCATTTTGTGGGAGTATGACAAATGAGACTTACCCATGAACACCTTTTTGACAATGAGGGGACGATTTCCAAGCGGCGAGTCAAAGCCACCTTCGATGGAGAAACCGAGACCACAGCTGTCCTTGACAATCTCCACGCAGCGAGCTCCTCCTCCACTGGCCGCCGCATCCTCAGCTAGAATTAGATGAGATTCATTAGTTTTATTTATGAAAACTGAAGTCTGTCATTATTTTGAATTTTGTGGTTTAATATTTTCTTGGGATTTAATTTAAAAAATTTTACGTTTAAAAGTTAAGTTTAAAATCTCCTAGCTTAACTCACCTTGTGCTCGAATCTCCGCAGCAATAGCATTTCTGGCTTCCGCTGCCCTCTCCAGAAGCTCACTCGTGCTGAGCTTGGCGGCATCACCGCGCGACAACTGTCTCCTGGCACGGATTCCCGCAATGGTGGCTTCAGCATCTTCGTCATGCAGACTAGCCGGCTGCGGCGGGCTTACGGATCCGGTGCTCGGAGTGGTGGCCACTGGGGAGCCACCAGCCTCATTGGACACCAGATCGAGGTCCAAGTCCAGAGATCGAGAGGCCTTGTGATAGTTCCTCTTGCGTTCGTAGTCCAGCTCTGTGGGCTTTTCGTTCAGAGAACTAAGTGATCCCAGAGAGGATCGCTTCTTGGTCAGGGCTTTCACCACGAGCGACTCGGAGCGGGTCACTACCAGCACAACCTCAGGTCGGGGGGTCTGCAATATAAAAACAATGAATTTTGATTCGCTAAACATATATAATATATATTTGATATATACCTTTAAGACACTGATAGACTCGCGATGCGTTAGTCCGCGCATGCTCATCCCGTTGACTGCGAGGATGCGATCTCCCTTCTTCAGACGTCCATCCTTGGCAGCTGGCGTGTTGCTCAGGATCTTGTGGATCTGTTGAGATTAAAAGGATGCCATTAGGAACAGATATATAGTAAGATAGATCTGTGACAACCCACCGTTATTTCCTTAGCCTCGTAATCGGACCCTCCGGCCAAAGTGATGCCGATGCTACTCTCGGGATTATCCCTTTGCAGGACAATGATGAACGCCTCGGGGGTCTTTAGTGGGGGATCTGCCTCTTCGACAATTTGTTGAACATCCTGGGCGGTGATCAAACTCTGGTTGCTGCCCAGCGAAGAAAAGCTGCCGAATTCGGTGGCCGTCTCTTGGGTGGTGCTCACATTTTGTGTGGTGGAACTCACGCCCGAGGAACTAGACGCCAGAGAGTCCAGCGAGGAGAATCGCTCATGATGTGGCTTCTGGGCAATCTTATGGATCACTGGCGAGTGGTTTTGGGTTTGAGCTTGAGCTGCAGCACTCCTCTCGAACTTCTCGCGTAATTCGGCGGTGGTTTGCTGCTTCAGTGGTTCTCTTTTCGGAGAGGGCAGCACCATTGGTAGTACCATGGGCTTGACCTGCTCAACTTTGACCTTGGCCTGTTGATTGGGATCTCCCTTGAAGCTGGCCTTACGCTCCTCGTCTATGAACATGGCACTGATCTTGGCCGGCGTATCAGATCTCCGGCTGCTGTCGTCCGTATCCGAGGTTAGTTCAACGTAGGCAGCCACATTGATTAGTTTATCCACCACCAGCTGTTTGCCCAATTGGATCTGTTGCTGCTGGAGCTTATAGCTGGAAATGGGCTTCATTCTACGATTGGCCAATGAGCACGCTTCTCCATCAGTACTATCGTTATCCTCCTCCTGGCCACGACTCTTGGCACTGCGGCATTTGGCCGAGGCCAGGATACTTTTGCGACTTGATAGAACCACGGGTTCACCATTAATCACCTGACTTTTGAGCACTCTTCTGGTTAAGTCCACCGCCGGTGTGCTGCCCAGAGAACTGCAACTGGCCTGAGAGCCCGCTGAAGATCCAGATGTTAGAGTAGAGGTGTTGGAACTAGCTATCGATGTGTTGGTCTCGGAACTCAAGGTTCTGGTAAGGGCAAACTTCTCGGGGGGAGTGGCCACTCTGGCGGTATGGGAGAATACCGAATCTGTATCACTTTCCTGATCTAGTGGTGGCGGTGGTGGTGGCATCATCATAGTTCTCGGCTGCAGTGGCGTCAGCGATGTCCTCGGTGGTTTGGCTGGCGGTTGGGAGAGCTGCTGTTCCAAGGGTCTCCTCTGGTTGGCGTTGAAAATGCTGCGATAGTTACTACCTGCACTTCCTGCCCCCACTTGATTGTTCCTATTGACCGTACTGCGATGGCTCTCACCCAAACCACTGTCTGTGCTATCTTCCCCGCTGGCTGCCTTGACCTGGCTCTTAATCTCGGGTAAATCCAGGATGGGTTCCAGTAGCTGGGGTCTCTCGGGGATCACCAAACCGCGCAGCTTCGACAAACTCCTCCTTCGCTGCTCCAATATATTTGTAATGGCTGCCTTTCGATTGGCCGCCTCTCCACCTTCACCCGAGAAACTGATCCTTCTCTCCACACCCGAGGAATACGATCCTCCGTGACTCCTTCGCGGCAACGAGGCGTAGCTTTGTGTGGGTGTGGCTGTATTTAGGGAATACATCGAATCAGCCACATGCAACTGGGGCAACTGTTTGGCCAACTGATATTGCCGCTGGACATCATTCAGATTCTCCACGCTCATGGCGCGAGTTTTAAGCGAAGGCGCCGACGATGCTGAGCAACTGTCCAGAAGGTTTTCACTGCTCCTGTTCAACGGTTTGCGGGAGAAGGAGCTGGATATGGGAGCTGTGGCCGGAGCTGGCGGTATGGCATCCAGTTCGTTGTTGGACGAGAACATGGCGATCTTATCGCGAACCGACTTCTCTGACTTTTCATCCTTTCGCCAATCACTGGGCTTACGGGTGGTGCCACCACTCAAGGATCGCTGATAGTCCCGGGTTAAATTGCTTGCCGGTTCTACGTTTATAACCAAATCCTGACGGTATACTTTCCTTGGAACTGTAGCTGGTGGCCCTGTTTTGGGCAGTGGTGGTGCAGAGTTCTCCTCCTTGCCGCCATTCTGTATCTCGTAGCTCAATTCGGTGGTCACCTTCAGTGGGTGGCTGTGCATGATCAGTGGTTCGCTGAAATTGGGCGGAAACTCATGACCATCGGGCGGCAGGCGGGAATAGGTTGGTGGCGATGCGTAGCTTAGGTAATCCTGCACCAGCAGCTGTTTTGTGGTAGTTGCCTGATGCAGGTGATGCGTTGCTGTCGTTGTTGTCGTGACTGTGGCTGTGTTGCTGCTCAGCAGCTCCATTTTGCCAGGGTTCAGTGGTGGAGCAGTTTTGCCTGTGGTTGCTGCCTCGCTGGTTGTCTTTTTGCTGCTGCTGCTGTTGTTGCTGATTATTAAAGTTGCTGCCGGGATGTTGCTACTTGCGTTGATGCTGCTAATGTTGCTGTGATGGTTGCTCAGGGTGCCAAGATCTGGAAAAGGATTTGTGGAGAGAGAGAGAGAAGGGAAAGGGTTTGGTTAGTCAAACATAAAACACAAGGAGCAGACATAAAGATAGACAAGGGGGTGTATATCAAGGGTCTTCTAAGGGGTTTCTAACATCTTTAGACCTTAGTTTAAGTCGGATTTCATGATCTTATTATGATTGGATATCAAGGTTTTATTTCAGTTAAACAAAAGGACAACATTTAGGTAACTGATAAGTTAAGAAAGAATCTGAGGTGATATTCCAAAGTCCCACCAGTTATATATAATAGGAATTGGAGTAGTAAGCTGTTGGATAATCGAAAAAAGGAGACAGAAAAGGTAGACGTATTAAAAATCTATTGAAACGGCCATTTCCACCAGACACAAAAATCATTTAAATAATAGTCAATTAGTTGTCGGGGGAGAGGAGCTCTGTTACCTAAACATAAATAATTATCCATCCATCCATCGCGACTAGCGAAACTTTCGCTCCCAGCAAGCCCCCAAAATAGTTGTCATTATGCGCTAACCGGAGACGAAGAAACAAAAGCGAATCTTACGGATGCGATCCCAGCAATTAAAAACCGCAACAATAACAGAGAAAAATTGGTTAAACGCTGCGGTTGACAGAAGCGTTTCTAAAAATCGCACAAAAAAAAAAAAACGAAAAACAAACCAAACCCTAAAGAGAAGGTTCAAAAAGGCGGAGACAAAGATTTGGGCAAAACAACAAATTATTATGCCAAGAAACCAAAACTTAGAAAACGAAAACAAAAAAGGGTTTCCCAAAAAGCGAAAGTAGCTTAAAGAATGGCTAGCTAGCTTTACCCTCAAGCGGAGGAGAGTTGACAAAAACTTTTATGCAAAAAATTAAACAAATTCTGCTGCCTCATTTTTGGGGTCATCACTCGGGGGTGTTTGTTTTGATGGCTAATTTCTATTTAAATAATTTATGACTGACTGGCTTATCTAGAAAAGAGTTTCTAATGCTGGCATTTAGTTTTGATTTTGTTTTTCTGGTCTTAAATCTAAATTGAACCTGGTCATAAATGGCAAGGAATGCCTCTGTCGACTTGTTACAATTTGCATAATTAATTAAACCAAAAAAAAATCTGAATCTAAAAACAAAACGAGGCTAAATTTCATTAAAATGGAAAACGCTGCGTGGATTTTTTCAACTTTATCTTACTTACTCTTTCTGCCTTTTGGCCACACACACACACACACATTCGTAAAATGTTAATGAACTTTTGCAAATGTAAAGTTGGCAAAAAAAAGAAGAGTAGCGAAAAATAAAAAATACTGAAGAATTGTTTAATGAAAAGAAAGGCAACAAAAAATCATGTTTGCATGTGCCGAAACCAAAAAAAATTGTTAAAATGCTTAAAAAAAATTACAAAAAATAAGAAAAAAAATATAAACCGAAGAAGTGCGTGAAAAATTGCAAAATGTAAAGTCAAGGGCCTTTAAAAGAACTTTGACCTTGGTCAGCTGAGGAAGATTTAGTTAGTCTGTGTGAAGGTGGAGAGGTTTTCGTCATGATAATTTTCCATATAACACGATAAGATCGCTTTTTAACTGCTCAAACTTAGCTCTTATTAACCTACTAGTCTTGGCAGACTTCTTAGTAACGTTTTTAGACCTTTGCGTAATATTTTTAATGGACAATCACTTGGCTTGTTGTTCACCCGACTTGAGGTTACCAAAAAATAAATATTAACTCATCGAACTGTTTGCCCAATGAGCCATAGCGACGCCAACTGACTCAGGCCCCTCAACTACGTCATTCGATGACGGAACTGCCAGGCATTCAACGCACCTGCATTATATCACCCATATTTCCCATTCAGCTACCAACAATCAAGATGATAAGCCAATAATAATTGTAATTATTTATCGAAACAATCTTTCTCCAAAAAAGTGTTCATTGTTTGTAACCTCTTAAAAAAAAACAAACCTTAATTAATCAAATTAGGTAAGAAACATTTTCGAGTCTCGCATTTTTGTAGCCGAGTGTGATGTCAAGCGATTAATCTTCGGCTAGCAAGTGTAACATGAGCGGAGTGGTTGGTATTTATAAAAATTTGAATATCCAAAAAAAAAACAACAAACTCGTTGTTTATCTAGTGTTAATCGAAGCAGCTTTGTGTAGGGGTTAAAGTTCGATAGTTTTCGTAATTTGAATTTGGCAAAACAATTAAGAAAGAAAAAAAAAAACAATTCTAAATAAGATTTCATAATTTACTGTTAGTTATTTCAACTCTTTCCCAGATCTTTAATTTTATTTCACATTAGCACCCGCTGCGAATTGGTCTGCTGGGAGTTGGATTTAATTGTAATTTTCAGGGGGGGGTCTCCATAGGCCACACGGGGTACTGTGTGTGAGCCAGCAAGCCAGCTCTGTGAAAGGTTGGTTGATACGGTATTCGTATAATGAGTGTTGCCAATTTTAGATTGGGCCTTAGAAAGAAGGAACAGAAAAACATATTTGGAAAGAAAGAAGAGATTGTGTGGAAAGGTAATTTCATAATGAATTCTTTTCGGGCAGTTAGCGAGGTTGGTGGTGCCCAAAAATTCGATCTTTGATTTGGTTTGATTAAATTAGTTGGCTTCTAAAACAGGTTACTCTTTGCTTTGATTAAATTAATTTAATCACTTCCTTTAGTTGCAATTTAAGCCATCTATCGGTCGTTTCTTGTACTTGGGGAACACTACTTGTCTTTAAGAAATATTCCTTTCCATTGACGTGCTTAAATATCATTTAGTTCTTGGTACTTGGACAATTTGAGTTCAGCTTCTTCGGCTTCTTTGGTTCTTAGCACTTTTCATTCACCTGGTCTTTCATCAAAGTTGTCTCAAGCATTTCCGTGCCACAAAACATGCCAAAGTGTCGTCTTTAATTAGAAGTGAAACCGAAGTAAAATAGAAGACTGGAAAATGCAGAAATGCAAGACAAAACCAGCTGTAGAAGAAACAAGAAGAAGCCGCTAGCCGCCAATGTCAAGTTCTTTGGAAAAAAAAAGCCAGCGTTGTAGCTGTGGGCTGTGTTTGTGGCATAACTGCAGTTTTTCCTATAATAACTTCCGCTATGCGACTAGAGCGCTCCCAGAGCGCCACCTACAGTTGATAATTATAAATTGCCATTTTAACCGGGCGAAAAGATTTTCCCACAGAACCGATGAAAATCCTGTAACAAATTGCTCGCATTTAGCGAACAAAGTGCTGCCTTCTTTGGCTCCCTCTTCTCGATTTTTTCCACATTTTTCTCAGCCCTTTTTTTTCGTATTTCCTTTTTTTTTCCGATGGCTGTGGGAAAAATCTGAGCTTGGCGCGTAGCTAAATAATTGAAATTAATATTTTCTGATGAATTTTCAGCAAAAATGTCTTCAAAAATGAAAACAGTTTATCGTGCGTTTGCCTTTTGGTTTCGCACCGCCGTCGGTCTTCTTTTGACGTTCGAAATTCAGTAGGAAAGAGGCGGGGGCAGAGAGGGGTTAAGAAATGCGTAGATTGGTAGCCCGCAGAATTTTTTCCACTTGGACAGATTCATTCTGCGGTTGCTTCTTCTTCTTCTTCGCCTGATTCCTCTTCATCGCAATTTTCTCAAGTGGTGAAAAAAAAGGTAAAGAAAAAGCAAAAAAAAGTTGTATTTGCCAACTAGCGAGCTCCGCATTTTTCGATTTAATTATTTTATTAAAGTCTCTCGGGCATAATGTGCAATTATTTAAAGTGTGTTCGAGATGCTGAAATGACGGATTGACGGATGGCCTAAGGTGGTGTTATTATTATCTAATGCCATTTAATGATCTCTCCACTGCAATCCCCGTTTGCATAATCATAATCTCCACCAGCTGATTGACGACTCTACTCGACTTCTCTCTCTCTCTCTATGTGTTTGTGCCAAAAATAAACTTCAAGCTTGCCTTGGGTTCTGACATCTTGGCCATCTTCACATATATATATTTTACCTGTGCCCTCCATCTCGTCACATCTGGTTTTTGAAAATTGTTTTGTCATAAGAACAGCCCCCGAACGACAACAAGGGTTAAGAGGAATGCAGAGTGGCAACAGCTGGTCCGGTTGTAACCAGTTAGAACGGCGGTGGGTATACGGTTTATTATGCGTAAAATGGATAAGGGATAAGCAAGGGTCTAAGGATGTAGTCGACTTGGGGATACCTCGTATTTTATGTTTTAACTTTTAGTAATTCAGTTTAGAACTTAATAGGTTTTAAAAAAATATGAAGATTGGTTTAGAATATTAAAAAAAATAACACAAAATTAAGAACAAATTTAATTACCATTTTTAAAAAACAAAATCACATTTTTCTCTAAGCTTCTTGCCTAAAATACTTCAGATCAAAAATTATATAAATCTATAACTTATGGAACATAAATCCATATATACCCTTTTATATCCGAATACCCTAGAAAATGCCTTCATCATCTGGTTGTAGGGCACGTTAAGAAATGCGCAAGCCATTTCTTTATTAAATAAAGACCAACAGCATGTGCAAGATGGCCAGAAAGAAGCAGAAGGTAGAAACCGCTGCTCAAGACCGGGCCCAAACCCAAACCTCCGGCCCCAGCCCCCGCCCTTTTTCGCACCTTGCTGCCGTTTTGCATTTAATGTGTCATGCTACGATGCAGTTGCCGCTGCTGTTGCATATGTTGCTGCTGTTGGTGTTGCTGCTGTTGCATATGTTGCATTTGCAACTTGCAACTTATGCTGCTGTTGTCGTTATGTGGCAAGCGCCAAGTGTTGCAAACAATATGAACGAGAGAGAGAGCGAGAGAGTGGGAGGGGCGAGCTGGAAAAACTACTCCAAGGCAGAGGAGGAAAATGTGTGTGTTGCCAAGAAAAATGTGCGCTTAAATTGCAGCTGAGAAAGGTGAAGAAAATCAGGGGGATATGAAGGGGAGGGGGTATACAGGTGGTAGAGAGAGAGAGAGATGAAGTGTGTGCCGTTGCATAAATATCGAGCTAAAGTGCCACAATAGAGGGG